ATCCAGCCGCAATAAGCCATTGCAGATCAGCTTTCATTATTGATGTACTAGAATGAAAGGGAAGCCAATGTAAACTTCAGATAAGTAATCAGTAACTTTGTTTAGGTCACTAGAACAATATCAGCTATCAGCTGGGTTATGCTTTGTGTAACTAATTGGATTCTGAACTTCTCACTTCTTCGAGTGCCTAGGTGGCCACCCAACATTAGCTGCTGTGTGTGCCTTTACGAATGGCTTTCCACTTGCGCCCCGATATTTCAAAGCTGTTGTGGTTTCAAAATCTAAACTGAATTGGGAAAAAATAAGTCTGTTCACATGCAGGGCTGCGACTACTCAAAATGAGTGATTGTTAGGTTTCAAATCCACTTTCTAAAGAGTGTCTAAAATAAAGGCATTCTGTCCATCTCCTGAACCCTCAAAGCTGTTAGAATTATTTTCAGTCTGACAAAAATGCAGGGACTTCATATAGGTAAAACTCACATGTAAATTTTATTTTATTTTTTTAAACCCAGAAATGTCCCAAAGACTTGGCTGATGTCTGGGCATGGATGCTCTGAGTTTAGTTGCTACATATAAGCTGCATGACACTGAACAAGTAAGAACGCAGAACGGCCAAGGCAAAAAGTAGCATTGCATTGCTAGTGCTGAGATTTCTGTCATTTCAAAAGACAAGGGCAGAGCTACAGATGAACTCTTGCTTTGGAACGGAACGCTGACTGAGAGCTGCGTTGGCATGAGCTGGCCTGGCCCGGGTCCCGCGGAAATGAATAGTGTTAGTCACGCGAGCGTGCCCTATGGATCCATTCATCATCATGAACAAATGTGAATTATACTGCTGTAAATAATGATAATGCTGTGCGGAATTACGCTCCCATTGCAAGGTACAAACTAGCATTTTCAAGGAGGCTTATTAGAAATGATGATCAAAGACAGGAGTTTTGGAGAATGTAAAGGCAGAGAGGAAAGCTGTCACTACGCATTGCCGACAGACTGACATAGGAAGCTTTTCCTTACTTTCTACCCCCTCAGCATCTGAACTACCATTTAGTTGTGCTTTCTCCCATCCACAACCTATCCAAATCTTGAATAAGCTGCAGAAAAAGCAGTTCTTTTGGCATGCCAAGTGGGCTCTGCCTTCAATGATTTCACCCTTAATCTCTTGAAAGCGTGAGTGCAGAAATAGCTACTCTGATGGAGAGGATTCAATTTAAAACATCACTCACTAAGACTGCATTTTTATTACTCAGATCAGAAGTTCACTACAGATACGGTTAAATGGAGAAATAGCCATACAATCCAACAGAAGCTTTGAGTTCCCTTTTATTTTGTCAGTAAATGTCAGCATTTGAGAGAAATGCCTAAATACTAATTCTGCAAGTAGACTAGCAACGTGCCCTTTAAAGTTGAATTATAAAAGAAATTTGTATATATATGTGGTGTTCTTCACTGCTCTGTCATTTTCTGCTTCTTTTTATGCCTTTTCTATTATTATTTCAGTTACGTTAGGTCACAGAAATCCTATTGTGTTATGTATCCGTGGCAATCCAAAAGGCTCATCAGCTCAATGACCCGTGGAAGCACATTAATTATACCAGCCTAATTAAGCCACTACGATTTTACTGATGCTTCTTCCTTCTCCATTACTTGCTCAAAAGAAAAAAAAAAAAAAAGCAGTTCTTTGTGAAGGCTATCCTAATCTGCTTTCACATGATGTACCATCAGCTGGCAAAAAGGATCTTATAACAGAATAAATATCAGAATAAAACTGGATGAAAAATATACTGGCATATGCTATTTGCGGTGTTGATTCACATATTCCTGTGCACCTGCACAGCTTCCCTGCTTAGATGGGCCATTAGGATATGTTTTGATGGCATTATTAATTATTGACTAGCTCCTCCTGGCCACAGCACATGAAACACGTCCAGGGGAAAGATTTAAAAAAGAAATATTGCTTCATCTTAATTGCATCAGGTGAAAGAAAAAAAAAATCCAAGGTCCACGCCAGATAACAGCAGTGAGAAGACTTAGTTTGGGAAGAACTTTGATCCTGATGTGGCATGTCACAAGACTGAGCTGTGTGTTTGCTGCTGTCCCAGCGCAGAGCTGCCCGCTTCTTAGGCCACTGGCATCGCAACGGGGGCAGCTAAAAACTGCCCCGTGCACATAAACCTCAGCACCACAGTTACAAAACGGCAAGACATCCAACAACGGCTACGGGCTGCCTGGTATCAAAGGGTATCACACATTCTAATGTGCCAAGGTATTTCTTGACGTTGATTCCCAAGGCCCTGTTCTGTCAGAACCATGAATCGAGCGATGCTGCTACAACCGGCACTCTCAGGACAGCAAACAGAAAGGAGGAGGGGGCACCTTTTCTGGTGCTGCTGTAAATCAGCACTAGATCTGACCTACAATTTGCTAATGCCATTTCTCTGACCTCAGTACTGCCACAGGTGAGCTTTACCTATTGCCTAGGGAACCTCTTCTGAATATACTTGAATACATCCCGAGTGAAAACCCGGCTGACCAGAGTACACCGTGAGAGCAATCTGATCGAGTGACCAGATCCCAGTGAGTCACACAGCAAGAAAAGATTTGCAGTAAGGAAAGGGAAGTTTTAGATATTGTTTCTGTTGTAACATGGATCGATGTGGGGCTGACCGCCTCCACCTGTGTGTGTCTGAGTGTAACTCAAACCTGGCGGTGTCCAGCTGCCCCCTTTTGCTTGACCTAAGCAAAACTGCTGTCTGCAGCAGAGTATGGAGGCCAGATCATGAGCTCTTTGGGGAATGCACTCCAGAAGAAATGAATTCAATATGTCCCTCTGTGTGGGTGTAGCACTTATTAGATTACCCTTTTCCTATTGAGTTCTTTGCCCAGGAAGCAATTGCCACCAGACCCCGGATTCCCCTCAACCAAGATTCTCACATACAGCTGGGAGGATGTTTTGTACAACGTGACCTGCAGAGAATGGTTTCCTCTTTTTAGTATCAGTTCTGTCTAGCAAGTCATAAGAAACGTAGTGTGGAAGGGCTTTTTAGTCTATTTTTTTCCTGAATAGTTCCTGGCTTCAACAGCAGATGCTATTAACTACTTGCTATTCAGAAATAAAGCCGTGCTTTGAGTAACAAATTACCTTAAAACATATTTACTCAAAATGTGAGTCAGTAGCATACATGGAATAAAGTAAGGACAGTAGTGTTCAGAATGTTTATGAAATCTGTAAACGCCTGAATCATCTCTGAGTGCAATGTAGCAGCATCCAAGCCTTTAATAAGTAAGTCTCTCTAGTCCAAAGAACTCCTAAGCTAAGCAGACAAGAAACAAAGCTGTGAACGGGAAATGTAATCCCTCATGTATAGGCAAATAAATGAGGCATAGAAAAGAGTCCAAGGAAAACTCTGAGACTATGACTTTCCTCATAAAGGCACCTCAGAATATGACTTTCCTTCCTGGTGTGGTAAGGCAGGACCGTGGCACGTGCCTATCTTCATTCTCAGAGCCAAGATCAAATGTAGCTGTGGTTCTTTAAAGTCAGTCTGTAGATACAGGTCCAGAGATTTTACTCCATTCATCACAGATTCAGCTTTGCTGATGAGTTGATTTTCCTCTGTTCTTTCAAAACAGATTACTCTTGTGATTTCACACCAATTATTGGTGTTTTTAAGAGCTCAACTTCTAGAGTAAATCTGAGCTGAATCTCATCTCAGAGCAAGGGGAGCAAAATTGTATATTTTTAGAGTCATGTCTGACAACATGATCTCTGTTTACACACCAAAAATCAACATGTACCAGGGTACCTGGTTGATGCATTTTTTAAAGTCACGTGTTCTTTAAAGGTACAGTCAGGATTTTGTACTGACCTTCCCATTTCAGATGAGTGGGGCTGGCACCCCTACACTGTGCTCTAACCCTGGGTGCATCCTGTTGAGTTTTATCTTTCATATATGCTCTTGGCTGTGATCTGTTTAACTCCTCCTGAGAAGCTGAGACTTATTTGAATTGTTGCTTTTGCCTTTGCCAGAAGAGAAAAAAAAAAAAAAAAAAAAAAAAAAAAAATCAGAAAATTGTGAGGATCAATTTGTGAGAATCCATCTCCCCAGCCTGGAAGCCTTCCTGGGTCTGCAGTGCTCTCTGCTGGGTGACACTCGGTATTGCTTGCTTGATTCGGAACGGAAATAGCTCCTTGGAAGGAATCCGAGGGAACCGCTGTCTTCCAGGTACATCCCTTGGCTGATGGGTCTGCAGAGACGGTGAACTCGGTGTTGTCAAGCTTCAAGGTGACATCTACCGCAGAAAATCAAAAATGTTCATGAGAAATGAAGCCAAAACTACAGCATTCTGGTGCTAGCAGACGGCTGCTGTTCTCATTCATCGGCTGTACTTTGTGGCGGCTGCCATGGGATCAAAAAGTGAGAGATCCTGGGATGTATTCCCGAGTCCTATGAGCATTTATTTACATGAGTAAAACTGAAGTTTTCAGCAGTTGTAATGATTAGAACACTGGCTTTCTTCAAAAGGTGTTGTGAATCAGTACTGATAGCAAAGGGACTGCCAAGACAGCTGAAGGGGCAAAATTTGGAGTCTCTCACGCAGTTTGAGGTCACGTAGGGAAAGGAGGCTTTTGAAGAAGCACAAGAGAACGCATCCTACCCCCGTCCCAGTGGCTTTCTGCTGACTGCAGAGTTGCTCCCATTCCTGCTGTTACAGGACCCCGTGCACCGCTACCTTTGATTGCAACTGGAGGCAGAGCAGCTTGTGTCAGCTTTAGAGAAAGAAAACAAGCTGCGTGGGATTTTCTGATCCATTAGTGTCCTGGCTTCTTGTAGGAGGCCAGCTGCTTGAATATATCACAAGCAGCGGCACTGAGTATGAGACAGTCCTGCCAGGGTCAAGATACAAACCTCTGACTTTTCTTTGTTTGATTCCCTTGCTTTAATTTGTAAAGAAACAACGCATGAAAAACAAGCAGCCCCAGAGAACCAAACAAATGCATGACTCTTCCTGAAGATAAACTTCTGTCAGCTCTTCCAGCACACCTCTTTCAGAAACCCCCCTTTGGAGACCACAACTCAGTTGGACCGTATGTAAAGGGCTGCCCTTGACGAGGGAGAGGAAGTAAATCACACATTACATGCAGATTTCTAGGCCTTTCTTGATATACTTTGTGTATGAATCATCAGAGCATGACAGCTGCCTGACGGTGGCTGGAGACCGGCACCTATTGAAGCTTGGTTTCCTCCTTCTGAAGTTGCTCATTTGACAACTGCAGGCAGGATTTTTTCTAGGCCTGCAAACAATCATGCTTTTGTATGGTGGGGCTACATTGGAAGAGTCCTTCTGATGGAAAGTATCAGGCAAGTTCCAGCTAAGGATGCTCGTTTTCATCACTTCTGGGAAAGAACAGTCTGGCTCCCGGCCTAAGGAGGAGTGGAAAAACTGTTCTTCCAGCAAGCACTGCGGCATCGCGTCCTGAAATCGTCCCAAACACAATGATGCCAGCAGTCATCACTTCACAGGCTGCCAGCTTTATAAAGACTCTGTTCCTCTGTCACACACAGATGACATTTTGTTGAAGAATTGAGGTTTTGTTGCAACTTTCAAGTCTTAATGTTCTATTTTGTTCACCATCCCCAGCCTGTCTTGCAAATAACGTCCTTCACTGCCACGTCAGCAGTTGCTTTCCAGAAAGGCAGCTGTGGAAAAGCGGGATGTGAGACGTGAATGCAGGTAACTGGATCCCACTTCTACCTCTGCAACCATCTGCCTGTTTCATGGAGCCTTAACTTCCTGGTGCCTCTTTTCCTAATACTGTCCCATTACCTTATCCACAAGCTGTTAAATACGTGCATTCAAACACCTGAAGAATGATAGGAAGCTAATTTAAAGATCATAAATAAAATTGTGCTCTTTATTGCTGCCTTCCGGGAACCATGCAGTCATACCTGCAAGCTTATTTTATTCTTCTTTTTCTGAAGTCGTGAAGAATTTGCTTTTTTTTTTTTTTTATTAAGGTGAAAGTTGAGGTTTATGTGAAACCACGTGGCTTCAGGAAATGGGGCTTTTAAGTGAAAACACCAAGACTAACTGCAAGATTATGAGACCAGGCAGATGTGTAGGAGGGGCTGAGTTGTAAGGGCCAGATCTGTAGATCAAAAATACTGCTCGTGTTCAGACACCAACCTTTTCTGTACTGCCTCGGTCATTTCCCAATAGCACAGCCGTGATGGTTTTTGCTGCTCCTTAAAGGATACCGTCACTTATATTTTTATCTCAACCACTTTCCAGGGACAAACAATGGGGATCTGGCCAGAAATGAGAGGAAAGGATGTTTGCTTCTATTCAAAAAAGAAAAAGCCAAGTTTTGTTGTGTTTTGTTTTGTTTTTAGTAAACAGTAATGTCACTACTTCTTTTACAGCACTCTTCTGACCCAACCTAAGGCTAGAGTGTCTGTGCTGAACACAGATGCCATCAGGACTGGCTAGACCTCCCTGCGGCTGTACAGCTGGTAGAAGGTCAAGGAAGGCAGGAGAAGAGCATCTTTTTGTTCAGAATTATCACATCTCCACAGCCCTGCACTCCTCAGAGATGCAGCCCTCCCGTACAGCCTAAGCAGCCCATCTTTGTTGTTAGTTTACATCAAATAAAAAAAGAAAAGGACCTCGAGGGGGCTTGTAATTCCCATAGGCATGAAAGGGAAGAATTACCCTCATTCATCGTCAGGACGAGTTACAAATGCCCAGTTCCTAATCCGGCAGCAGGGATGCGTACAGCTGCCTCCTGGCCTCACCGGCACAGCCTGGGATACGGCTCTGGTAGGAAAGGAGCAAGAGGAAGCACTGGCAGCGTGAGGAGGCTAATACAAAACATGGTATAGGAACACAGAGCTGCTTGGAATACCGGTGTCATTAACGCTGGTTTGTTCAATGATTATCACACCCGAGACAAAGAGCTTCTCCCCTGTGGACAACGCAACATCACCCCCACCATGTATCTTTCAGAGGCCTCCTCAAGGAAGTGCATTTAGGAAGGGTTTTAACCAGGCTGTGCTCACAGTCAGGAAAGAAGTTCCAGGAATAGCAGGTATGAAATCATGTCTCCAGACCACATGCAGTTCAAGCACTAATTTTAGGCAAAGGCCTAAGCCAGAATTTTAACGCCGGTCTTTGAGGACTTGTTACTGTTATTAAGATGAAGATAGTTACAGGAGCGCTGCCTGAGGTTCTGCAGTCACATGAAATACCTGCGGGTGTCAACGTGACTTTTCAGCACAACATAGAGGCTTAAATTAGCAAGGGCACGGGAGAATGTTTAGGAAAATGCACTACAGTGGTATTTACAGAGGGAGGGGACTATGGGTGACGTGCATGACATGCACTGAAAGTCAGGGCAAATGATGCCTACAGTGCCTTTCATGTTTCTACCCTTCATTTAGGTCTCCACACGGTGTGACAACCACAGCTTCATTAAGAAGGCCGCTGAGCACCACCCACTTTGGCACCATGATACCTTTGGGAGGTGGAGAAGTTCTGGAGTACATCCGAAATACGGAGAAGCTGGGGGACTTACCCAAAGACACACCTGAAGTCTGGGCCAAGTCAGAGATGTAAACAGGTTTTTCTATGTCACTGGCTAACACTTGGATGACAGAGGTCTGTATTCCTTCTTTAAAAAAGGGAAGGAAAGAAACTGGAGCTGGCTACCAGTAACAATAAACCTGACTTTTAGCAACGTATTATGGCCTAGCAAAATACTGATTTGGTACCCCTTAATTTATTAGCTGAGAAACAGGATTAATGGGACCTGTTAGACTACATAGTCTACTAGCAAAGTGTTAAGACTTGCATAAGATAATGCTCTCCTGTTTTCTTCAGCCTTTTAATTGAGGCCCAATATTTGTCAACCCGATTTTTTTGAGTTAGAATTTGTTCCTGTACTTGTGCTCCAGACTTGCTTGCTGGGCCAGACGGAGCTGGTGTGGCTGCTGGAGGTCAGTTTCTTTAAATAAAAAGAGTAATCCAGATCAATGGGGGATTACAAGGCACAAAATCTCCTCACAGCTAAGTAGGGTCAGCATTCTTGGATGACAAAACTGCCTTGAAGTTTTAGTTTGCAATGAAATAACTGGCCTCTTGTTGGTTGAGCCCCCTCCCGGCACTGACACAGTGCTGTGTTGCTTTTTTCTGACCTTGGTCCTGCTGAGAGGATGTGCTCCACACACCCGCAGCATGCAGCTCAGTGCCTGCTCTGCAAATGAGCTCACGAGTATGGATGCATCCTAAAGTGCTGAGCCCTACAGACAACCTGTCCTTTTCCTGGGTGTCGAAAGTACAGCTGAGTAGGCAGGCCCATCTGCCCATATCAACTTTCATCATTATTTTTCTCACTGTTTGGATTCAGCAGTGTTTCTGGCCACAGGGGCAAGCTTTGGGTATCGTGGTAGATCACACCGGTACCTGCATTCAGGGAGATGAGGGAATTCCCAGTGTGCACACACAGCCAGGTACAGAGTTACGTTGAGTCAGCGATGGGGAGCCTAATCTCCTTCTGAAATTGCCTGGAGACACAGACTACTCCTAATTTTAGGATTTCTGTGTTAGGACACTGTCATCATGAAGTGCCTCTCCTGTGTCTCGTTAGTTGTTCCCTATTTTTACCTCCCATGAAATCACCAGCAGCAGGAGCTATTTTAACTGTGCTTCTGACAGAAGAGGCAGGAGCGTTTTGCTCAGGCTGAGACTCAGCAGAGGCACCAAGTCAAAGGCAGTGTTTAAAGCTCACTTCAGGAAGAATCTTTACATAGGATGGATGAAGGGCATGTAGTTTGTCTCCTGGGAGGGAGAAATGCCCTGGTGCAGTGCCAGCACAGCTACTACCTCAGCATACAAGCTGGTTTGACTCAATGCCCCTATCCCTGCCTGTGAGCAATGCCACCTCCTCCATGAGGTACCCCTCGTGCACATCCCCAGGGGGCCACGGGAGGGTGTCACACTGCAGCACCCTGCTGGGGGTGCCCCAGCCCCCAAACAGCTGACAAGGGAGGGACTGGGGGCTCAGTTCTTGTGCTAAGTGCCCATTGTGCTTGCTGAATGACATCTGCCGGCTAGAAATAGACTTCAAATGGACCCAGCGAGTCCTGAGCAAATGTACAGCTGGCCGCCAGCATGAAGTGACTTCAAAGCTCTGAGCTAGGCCCAAGGGGTCCAACATCCTCTTCCTCTGAGCTCTCCAACACCTGGGCTCACGCAGCAGTCACTCTCAGGCGCTCCTTTTCCTGACCAGCGATGCTAAGACCTACACACCAGGGGCTGAAGGCAAGGCTGTGCCAAAAACATCAAAGTCAACTTCTATTTGCAACTGTACCTTTGAAGAAAGTGGAGTATGCAGGACGTTAGCAATGGTTTTAGAATAGCTGTGTTAAAAAGCATCAGCTTCAACAACAGGAAACAAAGAATGGAAAGAACTGAAATCAAAGTTCTCCAACAGAGAACATGCTACAGCATGGGGCTCCAGCGAGAAGGCTCGAACCACTAAAACAGCCACCTGAAAAAATACTTCATCGGGACGTTGGAGTGACCAGCCCTTATGGATTGTCGCTGCGTAGAGACGGTGCTCGGAGGTCACCCCCTGATTAACCTCCATGGCAGCTGCTGGCAGGGCAGGAACGGGCAGGTGCCATTCCTGCAGCACAACTGCTCCAAACCACAAGAAAGTAGCTCTGACAACAATTAGACAGTGAGTCCTGACCGCTGCTGATTTACTTCATCTGCTTACTGTCTCTGGGGTCTCTTCCTCCTGACATTGTTTATATTTTTGTGTGTTTGTGTATGTGCATACACACTCTATATATTTCTACATACACAAAAGTATACATATACACATTTAATATAAAAGCAGGTGTATGTAAACACACGTACAGGAAATGTTTAGAGGTGAGTACCATTTTCTTATTCTAGGCCTGTCTCTCGCTGCATTCACTGGTGACTCAAGGAGTGGGGCAGCAGGCCCTTGTTTGTTTTGACTGAGGTTTCTAGGGTAAAAACACAAATAAATGCATGACACGATGCAGAAAAGAATATTCAGGTTCAGAAATAACAAGAGATGCCAAAGGCTTGTTTAAGTGCAGGGACTGGATGTGGGGAGGAGCCTGTATTTCCCTACACTGCAAGTATATCCTGTGCACGAAGCAGCGCTTGGACTCAAGGGGCGAGAGGACAAGGAGCAGAAGAGGTCTGACTCGCAGCTTATCTACGCTGCTGTTATTCCAGTGGTTGCAAGAGGGCTGCTCTTAATTTTTGTACATCTAAAGAAAGCCAGTCCTTTATCTGTCCTGCACACAGCTCAGTTAAAGCACAGAGAGGATGTCTGGGTTGTATTTCACAGAATTCACAGACGGGTAGAGGAAACACAATGTAAGGGGGAGAAATACATCCACCCTCACCCTCTGCTCCATGCGCACACGTGCCTGGACAACCTCAGGGGCTGCAGGCCTCCCTTTCTCGAAGAAGGCAGCCTCGGACACCCGAACAGCAGCGTGTGGCACTCACCTAACGCCTAACGGACTGAGCAGCCTCCCTGCTGCAGCTCTGCAGCCACACAGCACTCAGGGCATACCCCAGAACGCTTCTGCCTCAGGACCACCTGGCATTGTCACCACAGTGCTAGAGACCCCTGGTGCCAGACAGAGAGGCACTGCCATGCAAGGGAGGAGAAGGGCTTTACAGCCCCACGGCAGCGGGTTCATCTGGCTAGTGGCTCCACGCCAAAACCTGCAGCACTGAGCGCCTTGGCCCAGCCGGCTCGGTTTCTTAAGTCATTTCCCGGACTGGGAGAAAATGCAGAATTGCGCAAGGACTCTGGGCGGCTGGTTGCCAGCACCGTGTCACCTCGAGGCACAGGGTGCTGCTGAAGCAGTGTGCTGCCCAGCGGCCACAGGCAGCTCCAGCCGGGGTGCGGGGCCAGGTGGGACGCGGGCGCGCAGGGGCGAGCTCACAGGCAGGGCTCTCACCTCCACGGACACCGACACACGTAACCCACCCTCAGTGTACACACCTCTGTCCCTGGGGTTGGTAACGCAAGGAACAGAAGCTCTCCTGACATTTGCAGAGATGTAGAAGGGGGTTAGGGACACCTCGTCCTGATTGTTCTCCTTCCCCGTGCATCTGAATGCATTAGAAAACAAAATAAACCCACACAGTAAGGACTTTCTTGGGACACACCACAGCCACCTTACCGGCAATTAATCACAGAGCTAACTTGTTTCCCTTCTGCTGACAAACGCTTACGCCAGCAGGGAATTGGGAGGTTGGTGCGAAGGCAACCAACCCTATAAAACAGCCGAGTTTGAACTGGGAGCACATTCGTTAGCTTCTAGCAAATTCAGGGCGTCTGTGCCTCCAGCTTCCTGGGGGATGCTCTTCATGCAGTAATTAAAGAACTGTTTTGGGCAGCGGGAGCACTAACTGAGAGACAAGTCAATCGCAAGTCTTCTGACAACTTCAAGAGACCCTGAGTCAAGTCCTGAGGGAGCAGGAAGCAAGCACGACTTATCTGTGAGATCAGTGCTTCGTGTTCGGCAGCCTCCATAGATAGCTGGCATCTGCTCTGCAGCTCTGCTTACAGGGTAGAAGTGTTGATACGTTTTTATCCCAGGATCTTTAAATAGCCAGATGTTGTGTGAAAACCGTCATAACCTTCCCTGCATGTCCCAGGCAGGAGAGCAGATCCCCAGCCCTGAACATCCCAAACCCCTCGGTATTTCAAATCTCCATCTGAGCTTAGCAGACAAGGCCCTGTACTGGCAGTGGCAGAGGACTGCATTTCCCCAGGAGCTCATCATCCACCCCCTTGTGACATCACTGCAGGCTGTTTATCTGAGAAACCTGATAAACTCTTCAGGGGTTTTTGCACATTTAAATCAATCCATTGTTGCTCCAGATAAGCGGCCATTTGGGGTTATTTGAGTGCAAACTGCAGATAAGAAAACTGACTCCTGGAGGCTTTTGTCATCTCCTTTTGCAAGTGTTTCTTTGTTTCTACCCCTCTCCATACACAAGTTCTCTGTGAGGTTCATCTGTGGGAAAGTACAGTGCTTGGGCAGTGGCTGGGGAATGTGCTCTGCCCTTGGGACTCCCAGAGCCTGGATTTGCATGGCTCGCTTGCATGCGTGACCTGGGGTGTGTGTGTGTGTGTGTGTGTGTGTGGCCCTGCTGCAAGCCCCCAGCCTTCCCCCAGCACTCCCGCAGAGGCTGAGGGCTGGGCTGCTGTTAGGGGGGCAATGCCCCTCTGGAAAAGGCTGCGACAGAATTTGGGAACTAGGAGCCTTGCATGATAAAAGGGATCCAGCTCTGTATCATCTTTTGTGAACTTACAGCAAGATAGGTGGGAAGAGAGCCCTTTACTTTCTATGTGCTGAAATAAATAAACAGGGACCCTGTGATTTGACAAGGACAAAGGATCCAATTTCACTTGTGAGAATGGAATAGTACCGCAAGCTGAGAGAAAGTTTTAGCCAGAAGTACAGGATTCACCCAGCAAGGTCTGATTCCTACAACTCAGCTGTGTAGGGGCAACTACACCTCCTCACTCCCCTGCCCCCAAGGCTTTTATTTATTTTTAAGGTATTTATTACCTCCCCTGGCAGAACGAGCTGCCTGTGTGCACATCAGCAGCACGCAGGGCCATTCATCTGCAGCTCAGCCACAGCAGGCACAACCTTTCCACTGAATCCTATCTCGCAGCCCAGGCCAGGTGGCTTTCATGTGTATCCAATCAGTTTTTTCTCCTTTGACAAATAACTTCAAAACACGCAGCTGGCACAATGGGCTAATCTGCAAACAGCTGTTTCTGTGCACCTATAAAGCTTAGGTGTGAGGTGTAGTGGGCTATGCTGCTTTTCAGCTAAGTTTTACAGCTCTTTAGGACCAGAAAGGAGCTGTTCT